TATAAATCCTCTTTTTCTCCCCCAGCTATAGGCAAGTAGCAGGACAGGCCGGGTTCAATAGTCTTGGATGGCAACTAGTCTACCGCAGAAAGAAATGGCAACCTAATGCCTCGTCAGTCATGTATCGAAAGATAGATCACCACCTAATTGTGTATCACGTATGACACATAACAGACTGAATATATTCCAAAATTGTACACATCTGGCATCCAGTGAATCCGAAATTATTTTGAATAGTTATATATAATGACCGGAGGAAATGACTTAGGACTGATACATATTGTATAAATCTGACACGAAAATGTAACGCGTGTCTTCTAACCCAGTCGCAGAAATCAAATGCATGTAAGTAAGGGTCTGTGTACAGTGAGATGGAGACAGGAGGAGGCCATGCCGGAATGAGATTTCGGGGAAGGATATGCTTTTAGAATTGGGAGTCAATTGGGATTTGTCCTGTTTAGCTACAGGCGTTGAAAAACGTGGCAATCGTCACATTGTTAGGTTTCGTGATGTCAGCGGAACCAAGCGCCACTCCGTTTCTCAAAATACATATATGATTTAAATTTTTATGCGGGATTTCTAGCTTATTTATGTCTCTTTTTCGCTATGCCTCCAGAAGCGGGCCACATATGTACAGGTTAAATGAAGAAAATATGATACAAGATAACATAAATTCAGGTATATGGTACAACAGTAAATTAACCTTTATAAAATATCACAACAGTGAAAACATGCGAATTATGGTTCCATTAATACTTTACTGAATACAGAAAGGTGTAAACATCACCTCCGGATTGCTGCACATTTTTTATCATTAGAATCAAGTAAAGCCGGTTTCTCGAGTTGGTTCTGTTATAGACCGTACATATGAGTAATAATGGGTATATCCCAATCCTTATAAATACGTTGGACACTACTGTATATGGGATGTGGGGGGAGGGTAATATGATGTCTAAGTAGTCCACCACTAGCAGTGGTTTACCTACTTCACGCCGCTTGCGAGTATTGTATCTTGTTGATGTTATAAAGATTTCATTTCATTTCCAACCTCCGTCTTGGTTACTCCATATTCAGTAACCTTTTGTAGGTTACAACAATATATATATATATATATATATATATATATATATATATAGATAGATAGATAGATAGATAGATAGATAGTTGTAGAGGAGGCACGGTGGAGTAATGGATAGCGGCTTGGATTGAGGAATCGCAGAGCCGAGTTCCAGTCGAATCCATTACATTAACTTACGTGCTAACACCCTTGGGAAAGGTATGAATCCTCTTCCTTTCCCTCCAGCTATGGGTAAAATAGCAGGACAGACTGGGTTCTATAGCCTTGGATGGGAACTGGTCTAGGTGAAGGACAACTCTGAATTCAAAACCCGAGGAGGGTCTTTTGGGGACCTCGTGGCATTCGGTGCACCAGGTCTCTGTATTCGTCCCTTCAAAAAGTGTGGATGGTCCTGCACGAGGCCTTCACCACTATAATCAAATCTCATGTGCCGGTGTCCGGCTGTTGGTTTCCTGGAAACTGATCTGCTTGACCCTCATACGTCGAATCTCGACGGGAGAGTCGATTATATATATATTATATACCTTATCTATGAAAACTAATGTGTATGTCCCAATCCTCATAAACACGTTGAACAGTATTATAATTGTGGGTAATATGCTGTGTAAGAAGTCTACCACAAGTAGTCGGTTATCTACATCACGCCGCTGGCGAGTATTGTATTTTGTTGATGTTATAAAGATTACCATTTTATTTCCAACCTCCGATTTGGTTATTCAGTAACCTTTTTCTAGGCTATAACAGGTTCGTGTCACGAAACTTATTCTGTTGTCGTATCCAGAATGAAATGAAACCTGCTGCAAGAACAAAATACAATTGTTCAAATCCGATCTTGTGGCTTTTGCATACTTTCCTTATTCATTTACTGGTCTGTCTGCACCAAGCTTGCAAGAGTATTCTGAAATATATTTCCGTTTGCTCCTTAGCAAACAAACACTCTCGGTCATTCACTTTTTAAAAAAAAAAAAAACTTTTTATTTACACAAACGTTTCATCGTATATGTCTACTTTTAAAAGTTTTGTGCGTTTACTGAGTTTTTTGTATGTGTGATCTGATCGAAAGTGGCCCCACTCCACTGTGTCCACAGATATACATATTATTTTCTTATTCATTTTATATATATAGAGGCACAGACGTGGAAATATGGATTCACAGAGGAAGCGGAAGGAATGACGTGAAAGAAACGCATGCTACTCGTTAGTATAGCGTCCTACCGAGTGCGGTCTGAGCCTGTCTACCAACCCTGGTGTAGGAAGCCTATCGACGCGTCAAAAAAATCGACAAGTCTTCGTTTAATTCCGACGGTTTTGGACTTATATCCAAAACTTAGACAGGAGTAATCAACACTGTCAGAATATGACGACTACAAGGTATTCTGATCAATCGCTAAGCATTATGGCCCATACTCCGCATTCTGTAACAATATGTCTTTTTTTATGTGCCATGTCCTTTCAGGACGCAGGCAATCATGGCTCTCCACCTCGCACTATCCCTTGTAGCTCTCAACAAGTTTCTTCCCTCTGGCCTCACCTAGACCGCGCTCTGTCAACCACTAGCTTAAGCCCGCTAGGTATGTCATGTATTGTTTTCCTTTGTCTCTCCTTCTCCTTTGTCTCTCGACCCGTGAGTATCAGATTCTCTATGTCCTCCTTCCTCATTATGTGTGTCAGAAACTTCAGCTGCCTCTTCCTGATGTTAAGTATAAGCCTCCTCCTTGTTTGAATCCCCCTCCAAGACCTCATCTTTGCTCACACGCTCTGGCCATATCTGTCGCCTCGTTTCTCTTCTTCATCTTTGAGGAAATCGTTCAATATTCACTGCCGTAAAGAAGGACAGATGTCACGTAAGAGCTCATTATTCTTTTTTTTGTTACCAAAGAAATCCTCCTGTCTTGCATTTCTCTGCCCAGCTTTTAGAATGCATCCTTGATCATCCCAATATGTCTACGGATCTCAGTGTTGCACTTACCGTCATTTGTCAAAACGTTTCCTAGATGTTTAAACTTCCGACATGCAAATCGAATTCCGGGCTCATGATAGGTAATCAAGTAATAAAAAATGTTGAGGAAATATTTGCGCTTCTCTTGAGTCGTCTACAACACAAAGCTTCCTTACTTTAATCATACTGAGAATTATTTTCATTATTTATATTCGAACTAATATCCTTATCTTTTTTTTTTTTTTGTTATTACAACATTTTACGCGTCGTGACCATAAGTATGTTTCTGGTGTCGGTTTTTCGAGATTAGCTTTTAGGGGAGTGGATGGAGAATTAAACCACAGAAAGTGGGGAGAAAAATAAAAGTTAACTTAAAACGTAAAAAGAAACAAACAAAACAAGACTAAACTACCTCGTTAAGTTCAAAACCGTGCGAATTAAACAAAGACTCGTCGGAATTTTGACGCGTCGACAGGCTTCCCACACCGAGGTTAAGTAGACAGACTCAGGATGCGCTCGACAGGACGCTATGCTTACGAGTTGCATGCGTTTCTTTCAAGCCATTCCTTCCGCTTCCCCCGTGAATCCGTGTCTCTACCCTCATGAATTGAATAAGAAGAAAATAATATGTATATCCGTGGACACAGTGGACTGGGGCGACTCTCGATCAAATCACACACATATATCAAACTAAAAATATCATTTTATCTAAATGAATGTCTACTACCCGATCATAATTTAAAATCATGATTAATATGAAACCCGATAGACGGTATTAATCCATTAAGTTTATTGCCACGTCATGAAAGCGGAGGACAGAACGACCAAACTCTTGGGATAATAACCACAAATATAAGAACATTATTCCGAATTAAGTTACTGTAAATAACGATAACTTCTCATCCCAGATATTGATGAAAAATATTGAGAAATACATAAAGTAGAAATAGGCATTATAATATATTAATAACAATTTTGTTTTTACTTGGCAAACATATTTGCATAGATATCTAATTGATATGTAAAAAGCCTAATGAAAATACCGTATTTAAATAAAAGAAGCAATATAATTGTTTACCGGTAGTAATAAGATATTGAAGAAATTGTAGCATTTTTCGAGTTCAGACAAGTCTAAATTTGTCAGTGATAAAAGTTGCCAATATCACAGTAATAGAGAAAGCTAGAAAGAATCCATAGATAAGAAGAGAACAAAAACTTATTACTGTCCAAACAAGTTGGCAATGTTTATATTGTCGAAAATGAGATCACCGGGTTAAAACCAAGTTGATCTTATTAGACTACAAACACAAATAAAGAATCCGATATAGATGTTATTCATCAAATTGTAATAGATGAAGTTGTTAATAAAATTACATGAGGGTTCAATACAAAGATTCTCCATAATGGGCGTCACCGGGAGGGTTTATTAATTTCGTTTGGATAGCCAAATGTGTCGTGCGACACAAGTTATTGTTAAAAACGATGAAAATTAGAATTTCGTTCTTTGTTTTGCCAGTTTATTTAATGTTAAACTAATTAATATCAAGTTCAAATTTTAAATTTTCTTGACAGTAATTAACACCAAATTTTACAAAAAAATATTAATTAAATTATTTGAGTTCAAATTATGTCTCATGAACTCTAAACAGTGTTATTAATAAGAGGTACAGAATACTACTGGGTCCTAAAATAGCGATTCCTCATCATGAATTCTGAAGGTGGTTTTCTAAGCGTATCTTGGATGTGGCACAAGGCCGAAAATATGGAGTGTCTTGTGTAGATCGAACTCACTATTCAGTCGTAACTGATCTAGCAAGACAAATTGGTAACCATTACAACTCGTCGAACTGTTCCCATAAATTCTGATATTTGCAAATTTATTTAGATGCGCGGAAGACATTCGTGCTCATAACGATTCAGCACCCTCTCTTATTGAAACATTATCGTGTTCTTTTAGAACATTGGCGTTCATGGCTCACGGCAACATCTCTTTGAAACAGCGGTTCCCGTACCATCACCAAAGTTAAGCAACGTCGAGCCTGGCCAGTACCTATATGGGTGACCGATTGGGAACATCAGGTACTGTGAGCTTGAATTTGCGGCTGATAGAATGGATAGTTCCAACTCCAGTTTAAAAAAGTATAAACAGCCTTAGGTTAAATAGTAAGACGTTTAACAATAAACCATTATTATCTAAAATAAATGTCTGACAATCTAAAAATATTTTCTGACTTCAAATATCTTGTATAAGTCGTAGAAAACGAATCAACCAATGAAGTAGGAATTCGTGATTCTCTCTTGAATTGGTATGCATTCTTGAGGATTCTATCTTGAATTGGTATGCATTCTTGAGAAAAATAGTGGTATGGTTTACACATTTTTGAAATTTAGAGATTTCGTTCGCTTACACTGGTTGTCATTCAAAGAGAGAGATCAGTGCATCCTGCTATTTAACGTGAAAGGTGAAGAGGGCGTATGTGCGATACGTAACGCATCAGACGGAGCAAGTATTTGATCCCGGCTTTCCGACTTTACTTTCACCGCAGGTTTCAGGTTCACTGTAAACGCGTTTGTTTGGTAATCTTTTGTAAACAACCAACTGTACGGTATTTTTCTATTTTAACCCTATAAATTATAGGTGTACTATCCAAATCTTCATGCTTGTCTTCAGATTTATAATTATTACAAGACAACTTATTTGGCAAATAGAATGTGCTGATATATAATGTTTCACATAATAAAAACCGTACAAATCATAAGTTATTTACACTACGCTCTGGGCATCAAATGTCAAGAAAAGGTTATTATCTTCTCAAATAAGGTGGAAAAATGGATAATATTCATTGGAGACATAGTATTATGAGCCAAGTGTCATGTGATCATATATGATGCACAAAATATTAGATGAGACGTTTCCTTAGACGTACTGCTCAAAATTAGAGTCTTTACTTTAATTTTAATTTTAAGTCTCTTTTAAAATCATGGCTCGTGTGCACTATATATCATGTACAGATGTGGAAATCACATGTCCCGTGTCTCACATATGAGACGCAAGACAAGCAAAGGGTTACGATGAGGAGTTTGCATTTACAAAGTTATTGGAGTTATTCAGTACGGATCTGTATTGCTCTTATCTTTTACCAAAATCTTTAGACGGATTCATTTTACGGCATTCCTAAAGCGTCCGATCCATACGAAAATGTCTTTTTTGTTTTGATAAGGAACATAGTTGTTCCAAAAATTGATCACACTACAGGGGGCTTCAAAAGTAGGTCTACAGTAATGAAAAACGAAACATGCTCACAAAAACGTGTTGTATTGACTTTACAAATATATCAATAATAACATAACAATGAAAAACATATCAATAATAAACATATCAATCCCTCAAAAGTTCGAAGTGTTTGCGAACGTCATTAACATATATCCCTTCAGCTAAAAAAAACATTTATCATTATTTATTAACAAATAAAAATAATAAAAAAATTATTATGATGTAAACTATGAAAATAAAAAAAATAAAAATACTCTTAATGTATTAAATGAAAGCGGCAATATGGATCAATAGATAGATGTTCGGACTGGAAAATCGAAGAGCCGATTTCGAATTCCGCTGATGTTCATTATATTCATTTTCGCTAATAACCGCAGGAAAGGTGTGAATCTCCAAGATATAGGTAAGTAACGGAACAGACTCTGTTCTACATCCAGGAAAGGTGTGAATCCCCCATATATAGGTAAATAGTAGAACAGACTGTGTTGTATTGTCGAAAACGTGTGAATCTAGCAATAGGTTCTATAATCGGTGCAGGTGTGAATCACCCAGATATTGGTAAATAATAGTAGAGTGGGTTTTATAAGGGGTGAATCCCACAGATATATGTAAATAGTTGTAGAACTGGGTTTTGTAGATAGGTTCAATAGGTTCTGTGGCCGGTAATGGTTGGTATCCCCCACGTATAAGTAAATAGCAGTAGACTGTGTTTTATAATCTATAGCCGGGAAAGGTGTCAAACACGCAGATATAAGTATATAGCTGTAGAATGGGTTTTATAACCTTGGGTGGCAATAGGTTCTATAGTCGGTAAAGGTGTGAATACCCCAGATATTGGTAAATCGTAGTAAACTGGGTTTTATAACCTTGGGATTCAATAGGTTCTATAGTGGGGGAAGGTGTGAACCCCCCAGCTATAGGTAAATATTAGTAGACTGGGTTTTATAGCCTTGGCTTTCAATAGGTTCTATAGACGGGAAAGGTGTCAATCACCCAGATATAGGTAAATAGTAGTGGAATGGGTTTAAAACCTTGGGTTTCAATAGGTTCTATAGTTAAGAAAGGTGTGAATCCTCTAGGTTTAGGTAAATAATAGTGGACTGAGTGTTATAACCTTGTGTGAAATTAGGTTCTATAGGCGGGAAAGGTGTGAATTCCCTAGGTATTGGTAAATAATACTATAATGGATTTTATAGCCTTGCATTTAAATAGGTTTTACATTCGTGAATCATGGTGTGAATTGTCCAGACATTGGTAAATATTAGTAGCCTGGGTATTATAGCCTTGGGTTTCAATAGGTTCTATAGACGAGAAAGGTGTCAATCACCCAGATATAGGTAAATAGTAGTGGAATGGGTTTTAAAACCTTGGGTTTCAATAGGTTCTATAGTCGGTAAAGGTGTCAATACCCCAGATATTGGTAAATCGTAGTAGACCGGATTATATCACCTTGGGTGGCAATAGGTTCTATAGTCGATAAAGGTGGGAATCATACAGATATAGGTAAATAGTTGTATATAGGGTTTTATAGCCTTGGATTTCAATAGGTTCTATAGTTAAGAAAGGTGTGAATCCTCTAGGTTTAGGTAAATAATTGTGGACTGAGAGTTATAACCATGTGTGAAATTAGGTTCTATAGGCGGGAAAGGTGTGAATCCACTAGGTATTGGTAAATAATACTATAATGGATTTTATAGCCTGGCATTTAAATAGGTTTTGCATTCGTGAATCATGGTGTGAATTGTCCAGACATTGGTAAATATTAGTAGCCTGGGTATTATAGCCTTGGGTTTCAATAGGTACTATAGTCGGGAAAGGTGGGAATCCCCGATATATAGGTAAATAATAGTAGACTGTGTTTTATAACCTTGCGTGGCAATAGGTTCTATAGTCGGGAAAGGTATGAATTCCCCAGATATAGGTAAATCGTAGAAGACTGGGTTTTATAACCTTGGGTGGAAATAGGTTATAAAATCGGGAAAGGTGTGAATCCCCCAGATATAGGTAATTCGTAGTAGACTGGGTTTTATAACGTTGGGTGGAAATAGGTTATAAAATCGGGAAAGGTGTGAATCCCCCAGATATAGGTAAATAGTAGTTGACTGGGTTAGATAGCACTGGGTTTCAATAGATTCTATAGTGGGGAAAGGTGTGAATCCCCAAGATATAGGTAAATACTAATAGACTAGGTTTTATAGCCATGGGTGGCGACCGGGTTAAATGAAGGAACACTGTGAATTCTGCACTGTGTGTAAGTTGGGAAAGAACATACTACAAAGGAAAGCTGCGTTCGTCTTAGATCGATGATATAGTCCACGAGCAAAATGAATTCTTTTATTATGCAAATCCTAGAACATAATACGTATGTTACAGTGTAACCCGGATATAAGAGACCCGGATATAAGATAAACCCAGATATAAGAGAGATATTCTCTGGTCCCAAATTAGAGCCTGTGTTAATGTATATAAAATAGACCAAACCCGGATATAAGAGAAACCCGGATATAAGAGACTTCTTCTCCGGTCCCGACAACTCTCTTACATCCGGGTTACACTGTATATTCTTATCTTTCACCAAAATCTTTCGACGGTTTTATTTTACGGCATTGCTAAAGTGCCAGTTCCATACGAAAATCTCCTTTTTGTTTTGATAAGGAACATAGTTGACTAGTATACCAGGGCCTAAGAAAGTATGTATGCTTAGTATCCATACTTTCATAGACCCTGGTATACTAGTCTTTCATTTTGTTGCTCTTTTCTGTTAACAAAACGTTTCGGCCCATTCCTTCTACGTCCTTCTTTATGGTGCATGATTTATATGGAAGATAACTTCTTTCCTGTTAAGAAAAATATTTATTTTCAAATTATTAATTTAGTTTTATGGAAATCCAGTTCTGATGACAAAGTTTCGACCGAATTATTTGGGTGCGTTCTTCAGTTGTAAGATCCGCATATGTAATTTTACGATAAAACTTTACTATTCCAAAGGTCGTTTGAATTACTGAATCCCTTCTACTTTGAGATTTTGTCATCATATATCTGAACCTGAAGCAACAATCTTTCGTATGGAAAACAAGAAAAGGATTCGATCTATCTGCTCTGAGATAAGGTCGATAACGTAGAAAGCGTATGTCGCTCGAATAAACGAACTGTAGTAATTGAAAAAAATCTATGTATAACCCTGGATATCAACATTGCAGTGCTTTTTTGCTTAGATAAAACTTATTAGAAAAATGTAAAATAATAGAAAAAAATAAGGTACAACTGTTATTATAAGTTTTCTTTTGATAAAGGGAATATCATATGAAGAAGTTTCGCAAGATTTTATGATTTAACTAGTAGCATGACCCGGCGTTGCCGGTGCTTGATTCAAAAATTGTACGACTCATACAGCAATTGCTATCACTTGACTTAAAATATTTATGCTCTTCCTTGCCTTTAAAGGAGTGTCCTTTGCCGTGCTGATGTTGCTACATGCCTTACTTCTTGCCAATCTCATACTGCGAATTTTTTCTAAGCCCTATACTAAACATTAAGTCTGTTACGAAAAAAGAACTAAACAAAATAAACACAAAACGATCAGCTTTAAAAAAGGACTCGTAACTGGAAAACCGAATGAAAAAAAGAATGTTAACAACAAATACGTTTTCACACCCAACCCAATTCTGCGGAATCAGAATCAACGTTGAGTTTAAGCAAGCGAATGAGCCAATTGAAGTAAAGTGCCATGCAGATTTAAATTTTCCCACTTTTGACGAATGCAGCTATCGATTTTTTTTTGCATGCTAGCATGCTAGTTAATATTCGTGTCAGT